TGTGTGTACGATCATACTTTTCATGAAGTGTAGATTATGTCCACTAAAATTAATCGTAAAATTCAATAAAAAAGTGAGTTAAATAAATTATTGAAAGTCACTACACTTTTTATATATATTTTGGCCCAATTTTTAAAGAAATTATTTAACTGAATTCTCAGATGAATTTTAAGCTGACATTCGAAGGACTTAATTTATCCTTCACGAAAAACGTGCTCACAAATTTTCATCAAAATATTCCACTCGAAATGACGTGAAATGGAGGTGCCCATACGGTGGTTTCAATCATGTCATCCTGATAGGAACACTACTCAAATTTTACCTGGGAAATTTGATGGTTTTTCATAATTACAAAGGGCTTATTTACTGAATTAATACTTTAAGGTTTGACAAATTAAACTCCATTGAAAATAATCGACTAATTTATATATTCATTGCTAGGTGCATAGAAAATTAATTAGCTAGGAATGTCTTTTAACATGCTTGGCAAATCTGGGAATAAAGAAAAATAAAGACTATATAGATAATCCCGACCGGATTGGGTTTTTGTCACTTCACTGCCTGGATGGGGTTAGGTTCTATGTATGCTTAGTTCCTTGATCTAATCAAATAAGAATTCTTCTAAAATACTTCATCCTTCTAAACTCCTCAAAAAGCATGATTTATGCTATTGACACTTGACCAAATCAGAGCAAGTAAAAACATCTTAAACCTAATAAAAAATGAATAAAGCAAAGTACTTTCTTCGTTTTTAAATAAATGCAACGGTCAACATTTCACACTTGTCGAGACACAACTTTGACCATTAATATAAATGATTTTGTATTAGTAAAAAAATTTAAAAAATTGGATTATTAAAATTTACAACGAGACAAGTTTAACAATATTTTTTCATAAAATAATATTATTACATTAATAAATAAAACGTAGTCAAAGTAGAACATGTGAATAGTGTAAACATCAAAGTGTTGCATTTATTTAAGAACGGGAGGTAGTATATGTTAAAAGAGCATTTTCGTCTAAGGTTTTTTGGCTAGTCGACGGTGTTGGAATCCGGCGATAGAGTGTACCAGGTTTGACAGGATAAGTTTAGCAATTTTGGTGAAAGGAGTGAAGACAACGTACGACTTGAGCGATTTGGCTGGGCGACGAAGGCGGAACCAAGTGGCGCAGCAACAGGGCTATCCACGAGAAGGTGCCGGGGTATAGAACTTCATTTCTTCGACAGTGGTGCCTATCAGTGGTCTAGGGGTGGAAGCGTGTGGTGGTGCAGGAGAAGGAGGCAGCGAGATACTCGGCCAATCACGAGGAAGGCGGAAGATCCAGAATCGGAAACACGCAGGACCTGTGGTGATGATCTTATGTGGGCGAATCAGATTCAGGGATCGAGTGCAAGGCCTTGCTTGATGCGGCATGGAGAATTCCACATCCAAGATGAAGAGATGATGATTTGTCCCCTCCTAAACCGTCGTCATGGAGGAACTGTGCGGCTAGAATTTGGAAGATTGTTTTATTATTTCTAATTTGTTTTTTTCAGTCCAATCTGTTTTACTATTTCTATTCTGTTAGTATCATGATAAAGAATAAGGGGGTAGGTTGGTGTTTTGGTTTGTTTTAGTTGATAGATTCCTGTTTGGAGGCAATCAGGTTGATTCGGCCGCTAATAGTCTCTTTGCTCTCACAGTTTCAATGATTTGTCTCGCTCTTTTAGGGTAGATTATTCTATGTCTGGTCCGTGAGGGGGGCGATGGGCTTTTGATTGGATAGATGAAGATTTAAGTTTTAGGATATGATTGTTTCTTTGAATCGTTTGATTTTAATATAAGCTATTTTCTTTCAAAAAAAGTTGATTGTAAGTTTGATTTTTCTAACCAAATAATGGGAACTTATAAAAGCAGCGTTGGTTTAGGACATTAACCAAAAATATAATACTACCTTCCGTTATTTAAAAGTTTCAACATTAAAAATTTTACGTTATTCACACACTTTACTTGATTATGATTTTCTAATAATATATATAATCAAATTATTATGTATAAAATGTTATGTAGTACTAAGTATTAAATTTCAATTAATGTAAATTTTCAAAATATAACTTTTTATGAGTACAACTTTTAAAAAAACGAGTAGAGAATGGTAGGGTAACATATACCAAACTTACTCTGGTCTCTAGGTATAAAGTTAGTGAGTGGCACTAAAATAGCTAGGTATGATGAAATGGAGTGGTTGAAGTGACCATGATAAAGTATATGGGCCTGGACCCCAGGACCTACATACTCAGAATAATAATAGGCACAGCTATCATCTAGAGGGGCTTCCGTCGGCCAGATGGCCCCCATCGGCCAGAAAGATATCAATTCAGAACATGTCCGAAAGCTAGGAGAATCGGGTGTCCCCGTCGGCCGGGGGCTCCATCGGCCATGGCCGAGTCGGCCACAAAAGGCTCCCAGAACCGAATTTTGTACTTAACATATCTTTTACTCAGTCCAATAGGGGCCCAATTGTAAATGGGCCTCCCAAGCCCAAGACTTGGGAGCCCAGCCCTAATTTTCTCTATAAATACCCCCCTAGAGGATAGTTGTAGGGGGTTCACAAATCATTAATACAAAGCAATTATAGCACTTCTCTCTCTAGCTCTCACTTCTCTCTAAGAGTTAATACTCCATTAGACCATATACCCCAACTTAAAACCTCGTTAATGTGGGAGATCTAGAGCAAAACCTAAATATGAGTAAGTTATTGTAAATTTAACTGTCGTATATTGATATTATTACTTTAATATGATCATATTAATATCATAATTGATTTTATTTTCCAATCATGCCAATTATTTCTCATGTTTATGACAATTTATTTTCTAAAAATTATCATCATCTAGCAAGAAATTAATACTCCATATAATTTAGAAACTAGCTATATATGAAATGCACATTTAATCACGGGCAGATCGAGAAATCCGACATGCCCTAAATTGAAAAGCAATTATATCACACTTAAACATTAGCGGAGTAGGCTTAATATGAAAAAAGAAAAAGAAATACACTTAAAAATTGAAAAAATTGAGATACCCTAAACTTCAACCACCGTACTACTATAGTCTTTTTCTTACTCCGTATTAGCCATGTTAAATCGTCCCTCAGATTTACGGAGTAATAACGAACACCGTGTGTAGTTTTGAATTTACTCGAACCGTTCCCTTTTTCTTACTCTGCATTAGTTATGCTACGAGCTCGTTTGATAATTCTGTTTTTCATCTTATTAACCAACTTTTCAATCAAATACGGATTTTTTTTATTTTGGCTGAAGTTACTTTTTTGACCGTATTGGTTGAAGTTACTGTAGATAATCATTTCAACTATTTTTCCATATAATTTTTTCTTTATCTAATTCACATAATATATTTTAAAAATAATTTTTCCATAAATCAGCAGAATCAACCAATACAACCATTTCAGGCAGAATTTCATAAATTTCAATAGAATCAACTGATTAAACCGATTTCAGTGTTACTAAACGGACTTTATATCTTGTCTGATTTTTAATATGGCATAAACAACATGCTTATGAACAGATTTATCCTTTTTTCATACTTGAGCAGAAATTTTAGACCATGTTGTTTAAGTAGGGCCCGTTGTTAGAATTATAATTGGTGACAAGACAAATTCTTAAAGAGGGCCATAGAACATGCAATGCAGTTGATGCTTCCAATCCATTGAAAATGGGGCTATTGATATACTATATCATTATGTACTCGGGATTTGATATAACTCGAGCTGATACATTCTTATTGTATTTGATATACACAATTACATTATTTCCCCTTCATTCGATATTATCAAATACTGTGTATTACTCTGTCCACCTATTTTGGTCCTCACTAATATGTCTCAAACTATCCTCACTAATTCCGTTTTAATCGCAACATGTTGAATTTTACACTATTCACATTCTATACTTTGACTACATTTTACGCTATTATTTTATGAAATATATTTTTTTAATTTTGGCTAATGTTATATGTTTACCATTGCAACTAAAAAAGAACAGAGGGAGTATTATATTTGATGATAATGTTTGAATTGTTATAATTTACTTTTACTTTATTCACATTTTATCATTTTTAATAGCAATCACACAATTTTACTTCTCTTAATAACTGCATCACTCTCTTTTAATTTGTCTCTGTGTTGGAGGATCGGATGTAGTATATATCAAGAAAAAGCTAAGTAAAAGTTGTGTGATTGAGGGTTATGCAAAGGAGAGAAAAATAACTAGAACTACAAATTCATTATTCTAAAAGAAATATGCCAAAGTTTTTGCGACAATTAAAAAGGAAAGTGAACATTTTCCAATAGGACGGAGAGAATAAATAAGAAAATCACTACAAGAAAAAGGGTCATTAGTGAAGGGGAAAATAGTCGCAAAAGCAATGTATATGGTCACTATTGACAATTTCTGACCAAAAAATGTGATCGCACGTTCATCCCTATTGGTCTTGCCGCTAGTGGTTTTTGCGACCATAAAAAGAGGTTGGTCGCTAATTTCTTTTGAGACCAACGAAAATGTGGACGCAAATGTTATTAGTAGAGACTACTCTCTATATCAAATAGCGACTATTATCCCTTCGCAATTGTAAATATATATTATTCTACATAGTTATGTCTGACTAAATACTATATGATGTTTCATAAACAATAACAATATGTTACGTATATACTCCCTCCGTCCCGCAATGAACTTCCCACTTTCCTTTTTTGGATGTCTCAAAAACAAGTTCCCATTTCCTTAAATTGCAAGTTAATCTACATCAAAACAGTGTCAAACAGTGCAAAACAATGTCAAACTGTGTCGAAACAGTGCCAAACAGTGTCGAAACAGTGTCAAAACAGTAAAATTTATCCCATGATAAGTTTAATTCCTCAATATGTGTGTAGGTCAAACTGTGAAGTTCATTGCGGGACGGAGGGAGTAATATATTAAGCAATTATAAGGGTGCACATACAAAGCTAAAGCAAATTGAAAACCAGTTAATGATTAAATATTTAAATGTAGCAGAATCAACGTGTTTCAAAAATAAACCAAAATCAAATCGTAGCAGACTCTTCAGCTCATCATAGTATCTCAAAAACAAATAAAATAAGAGGTAGATGATATGTTTGAAGTTTCTAAACAAAAAATAAAACTAGAGATATATTGTCAAGTGTTAATGTCTAGCTTTTCTCTTGACTTTGCAGCATCTCCTTGATCTTTTGGAATTCATCCTCTAATGTATTTAGACGATTCTTCAAGTAGTGATTTTCTTCATCCCTGACATTCAATTTGGCTTCAAGTTCAGCCTTTTTACAAGATGGTCCCTTCAAATGCTTTCGAGTCACGCCACCTCCATGACAAATTACATGAATGCGTTGTTGAGGTCCAAAACACTTCTCAACCACATCAACATTTCGTAAAGATGTGTTTGATTGCACCACCTCACATATCTCCTCCTAAAATAACAATGTGTCCGATTAAATACTTTTAAATAGTCAACATGAGAAGGAGGAACTTAAAACATTTACTCACATATTTTTGAATAGTTTCGGGTTCGACAAGTTTATCCTTTTTCTTGTGTGTTTCATAGAAAAGAACTCCCATATCAGGTGAATTATCGTCTTTACCTCCCTTCACAAAAACAAATAGGATGACAAATCAAATGGATAATTATTTGAACATTGCATATATAAATATAAATTAATAGTTAAAAAAAAAACCTACCATTTCATAAATAACCTCTCTCACAGGCTTGCTATCCATACGATGAAGCATTGGTAAATAACTTCTATTTTTTGAAGCTCGCTTACTCCTTTCCTGTATTTGTAGAAAAAAATCAGATCAGAAATCATATCTATGAAGGCAAGATTGCTCCAGGTTAAACCAAACTTATCAAAAGACAATGCTCTAAAAGCTGTCTTGGTTATTTTGAACACGGCAGTTGTTGGAAAGTGGCTAGATGTTGTTATCAAAGGCAATATTTCTCGTGTCCTCTCCAAAGTCCTAAAGTAGTCCATGAAATGTGAGGAAACTACTTCAATCTAGACTAAATAAACCATCTTCTGTATGTTGTTGGTGCAATGATTGATTCACAGGTAATAGAAGAATACTGGAAGAATAGGACATTAATGCGTTTACGGATCAAAATGCGTAAAACCTGTGTTGTTCACCTTGGGAATAGCCAGGAGTTAAGGGAAGTTGTTGAGAATAGTGTTGACTGTATTTTGCTAATTCGTAAAGACTATATTGTTCCCGTTAGTTATATTTTTGGGAAACCCAGAGTATATACTCAACCGTTTTCAGCATTTTAATAGAGTTTTCCCATCTAATAAAAAAAAATATAAATTTAGGAGTATGATAGTTGTACTTACCTTGTATTGTGGAGTAAAATAATTATCCTTTACTAACCATTCCCAATCATCCTTAATTACATCATCAGGAACTATTTTGAGAGCTTCATTCATAGTCTTGTTCATGATATATGTCAGATGCATCCTTCCCCGCCATTTGTTCCATAACTCACACATGTGTTTAAGGACATCATCTTGATGACTAAGTAAATCATCACCCTCAAATGCTTCCTGCAATAATTTTAAATTGTCATGAATATTTGTAGTACATAGAGCCAATAATGATTAATAAAATATAACTATCTGATGCCATTAAATTAAATACACGTCATATATTGAACTGGATAGAGAATCGTACTGTTACTGAATCCCACATGTGAGATTTCATATCTTCGTCAATTTTTTCCCATGAGGTCACCGCCAAAGGACAAATTAGACGGTTACGGATTGTTTTTCCCGAATGCCTTGATAGTCCCTGTTTCTATAACAGCAATGAATAGCAGTATAACAAAGACGATTAACAGTAAAGATGAACACAGATGAATCGATGTAAACCCTCTTTGATATACCGTGAACTCGTACACAGAAGTATTTGCGCTAAGGCTATTTTGAGCGAGTACGAAAGTTAACCTAAACCTGAATCCTCGGCTCCCTATTTATAGGCGAGGTTCAGGTATGCGAATAAGGCTTTTAGCCTTTAGTATGGGCCTAACACTTGGCCCATATTCAATATAATACATACACATATTTAATACAAGGAATAAATAATAAAGCTAATCTATTACAAGATAGGTGACAAACTTGATTCACAATTAAATGATTTTCAACAATCTCCCCCTTTGTGATCAAGTGTCATCTTGTTATTACTTCTGTGATTTGAAATAGTGCTTCCTAATATTCAGTGCATGCTCATATTGCCTTAGCATGTTTCTCTTGTCTAGGCGATCGTCGATGGCTTTTAGAATGGTCTCCACTGTTGAGTGTTCCTTTTGAATGTATGACGATGCCTCCTCAAGATTTTGCTCTAGCTGTTCCTTCATCTTCAGCAGCTGTTCTTTGATTATCTTCAGTGTTCCATCACAATATTTCTCAACTTCGCTAACCACCATCAGGCGTTTTTCATTCTTATGGTTGAGATATGTGACTGCTGGCGGTGTGAAGAAGATGTGATATGCTGGGAAGTCTTCGAGCTCTGGACCATACAGTCTTGGCTTTGTAAGATTTGTTTTTGTCAAATTGCACTCAATAGCCATCTGTAGGTCATGAGATGAGTGCACTCTGATTTGTCTGAGCATGAATCTTTTGATTGCTGCGAGGCCTTCGCTGTATGTTTTGCTTTGTCTGACTGGAAGGTATCGATATGCCATAAACATTTGATAGATGTCGTCTGGTTTAAGCATGATGAAATCATTTTCTTGGCATGTAAATTCACTCCCATCGGTGTGTTGAAGCTTGTAAGAATAGAATCTCACTCCGTGATAATCCTCGGCCTTAACCTGTAGGATTTGATGAATAGGGAGAATGTTGGATTTCAAATCATGTTCCATCAGCTCTCTTTGAGTACCGGTTGACCTTTGCAATAGCATATGTAGATGACCTCCTGCCTGCTTTCTTTTAAGATGGGTGAGACCTCGCAGCTTTAGTTCATTCAGAGGTTTGACTTTGTCTGGTCTACGCCATATACGCTCTCTGATTTCCTCTTGGAAGGGGGCTTTGATTTGTACATTGTCCCAAGGTTTCTCTGTCCTGGGAAGTCTTCCCGCCGATTGTCTGACGACAGATTCAAGTGCTTTCTGAGATTCCTTGTAGTTCTCCCCTTCTTTCGTTCATCGTCCTCGAGCCTGATTATATCTTCTGCACATTTGGTAATGAGTTCTTGTAGGAACCAATTCCTCTGCATATCTTCACATTCTTCATCCTGCATGATTTGATCCATCTCCGTCCACTGTTTGGGCCATTTGTCGTGAATGATGATATCTTCTAGTTGATCATGCATTTCATCTGATGACAGAATGGTAGTGGCAGGTTGATCTTTTGGAGACGGAGACCTGTTAATTGGAACACCGGGTTCACTGGGATTTTCCGTTGTCATCAGCTTTGAACGAGGTTCTAACTCATGGCCTGATGTAAAAGATGTACCAGTGGTAGCATCATCGGGACTTTCATCCCCTCCTCGGTTGGTATCTCTTGGAGATACGCCTCGGGATGTTGCATCTAGCTCGACCAGGCTAGAGAGTTTGGTTGCGGGTGGTGGCTGTTGGTTGGTTGAGGTTTCTGGTTGAACGGGTTGTGGAGTGTGGCTAGCTAAAGCAGTTTGCTCAAGTGGTCGTGGCCACTTGTTCTCCCCCTCATGAGGATCCGAATCGTCGGGGTCCTCATGGGAACGTTTGCGACCACGAGGACTGTCCTTGCATTTGCTTTTGGTTTCAGGGGAAGAGAGGAGGGCTTCGAGAATGGCTTGCTGGTGGAGGGTAAGGTTGGCTTCTGGGATGTTTAGGAGATGGTCCAGCAAAGCCGATGCCAGGGTTTCGAAAGGTAGTGAGGAGTGATCGATGGAAGGTGTGGTCGGGCATGGGGAGAATACTAGTTCTGTATCTTGGGTTCCCCGAGAATGTGAAGGAATGGGTATTTGGTTGATTGATTGATGAGAGAGGGCGGTGGAAGATATGGGTTGTGTATGGGAGATGAAGGGTTCGGGTGAAGGTTGGGGTGGGGGTTGTTCAGACTGAACCGCTTGGGTGGTCCTAAATTCCTGTGCAAGAGCGGTCATTGCTTCTTGCACCGATGGTTTGATGGTGGAATCCAGGAAGCGATTTAGCAGAACGTTGACATCTTCAAAGGTTGGGTGTCCAGTTACGGGGGTTGTAACTGTTGTCACAGCATGAGTGAAGATAGCTGATGTGTGGCCTGCGTGCAATGATGGAATAATTGAAGGCATAGCAGGACTTCTAACCGTCATAGCTTGCGCTCTGGTTGTTGTGTTCAGGGTGTGTGCACCTGTATGTGCTGTGAATAGTGTAGGTGTCCTAGAAAATGAAGAAAATGTAGGAAATGTGACACCTAGACTCGATGTGTTCGAAGGAGGGGTTTTGACCTCGGGCGATTGGTCAATAGTACGCTCAACTGATTCGGAAGGAACCAGCGAGGGGGGTGAATCCCGTGCTTTTGAAACGATAGCCTGTTGGGAGGCTATCGAGTGGCTAGGTGAGGGCTGTGCTTGCGCAGTTGAGCCAGATGCTGCGACTTCTACTCGGGAACCGAAAAGATCGGCTCCTGTACTTAGGGATTCGGCTCGGCTTATCTGGATAAATGGATCACAACCGGCGAATATGTGCTCGTCAGCCTTATCTATGAGGCTCTTTCTGACGCGAGGCTGAGGCTTTGACTTAGCAGATTTGTCATTTTTTATCTTAGCCCGTTTCTCTCGGATAATGGCATCTTTTGAGTTCTTGATGGCATGGGCTGCTTCATCATAGTCAGCCTTGGAGCTGTTGGTTTCTCTGTGGACGCTCTTGGATTTTTGCAGCTCCTTGATGGTGAAGACTTTGGGTCTGCCTGCAATTATTGGTGTTGCGTCTTCAGCAGTTATTTTCTTTGGAGATTCGACAGGCAACTTTCCTTTTCTGATTAGAGCATAGGTGTGCTCAACGTCGTCGCTGTCATCATCATCACCATCAGAGTCAGACTCCTCGCCATCAGTACCCACGCTCTCGGATGCCTCATCGTCAGTGTTAGTTTGGGCTTCACTGGACGACTCATCAGCAGATTCCTCAGCGTCTGTTTCGGTGCCCTCAGCTGTCTGACTCGTCTCGAGAGAGTCGTCAGACTTTCCTTCATGGGGCAAACTGGCCACTGGTTTCTGTGGCTTATGGACTGGCTTAGGACCCTTACTTTCACTCGGCTTTGTCCCTGGGGTAGGTCCAGCTGGGTTTTGCTGAACCATAGGGGTAGTTCTCTCAATGCTCTCGCGGTATTGTTGGACTGCCGGATTGGATGGATTGACGAGTTGGAGCAGGAAACCAGGAATCCACAGACTGATGACAGGATTTTTGTCTGCTTTGAAGTATTGCAGCTTTGGGGCTGTGTAGTGTGGATCAACACTGCGTCTTGGAATGGAGGCGTGCTCTGCCATGCAGTCATTGATAATCAGCCCTAGCCACCTCGCGTATGGGATGGTACCTGGCCTGTTTTTCTCCTTTGCTTTTACCAGGTCCATGAGCTCTGAGAAGAAGAGTTGTGCCAAGTCGTAATTTTTGTTGTATGCAATGCCGTGAAAGATGAGTAGGATCTGCTTGTTGCACTTGTCAAACCCGGCATGCTTTGGTGACGGGCATTTATTCACCAGCCCGAACAGGCTCTTCCACGGGTGATGGAGATAGGCTCCATTGAAGTTTGATAGCTGCGGTAGAAGTGAGGTGTAGCCGAGAGCTGCCACGTCTTTGAGGAGATCAGGAATGGATGGCAGCGCATCATACGTGTCGTGAACTGGCAGCGCTAGTGTAGATCTCAGTGTAGATGGCGTCAGGATTACACGCATACCATTCAATTTTGTCTTGATTTTGGAGCGATCCTTTGCTGATTCAGTATGCATGTGGCCCCAAAATCGTTGTAGGTATATCTGTGGCACTGGTTTGGCGTTGTGAAGTGTAAAAGCAGGGGGTCAGAGATAGTGACCTTTCATTATGGCCGGAATGATCGGGTTTTGGCATTTGAAGACGGTGAGGTCTAGCTGGAAGTTGTTGTCCAGCACCTTGATCCACTTGCCCTTAGGGTAGATGGCGTCGTCAATCTGAGTTTGAGGTGTTCCTGCCATTATGAACTGTAAAAGCAGGGGGTCAACATATTAATTCTTTGGTTGATTGCTCTGAGATTAGATTGAAAAAATTTTGGTGTTTGCAAATTTCAGACAATGGGTGCAGGTGGATTTTTGAAAAAACATTGTAAGTCAAAATCTCGAGATCCAAATCTCGAGATCCAAATCTCGAGATCCAAATCTCGAGATCAAGATTTCGAGATCCAAATCTCGAGATCTTGATTTCGAGATTCAAATCTCGAGATCTTGATTTCGAGATTCAAATCTCGAGATCTTGATTTCGAAATTCAAATGTCAAGATCTTGATTTCGAGATCCAAATCTCGAGATCAAGATTTCGAGATTCAAATCTCGAGATCAAGATGTCGAGATGCAAATCTCGAGATCAAGATGTCGAGATGCAAATCTCGAGATCTCTCTCGAAGACGAATCGACGATCTCGAGATCTGGAGAACTGAATCTCGAGATCATAGATTTCGAAGAGACGAATTCACCTGCAAAAACATAAACAAAAGATACGAAAACGATATTCAATCATGGATTACGACCTTGAAACAAACGAAGAAAAACCTTTTGAACTTGTTTTTGAGATATTACGAACGTTTTGCGAAAAATGGTTTTCGTTTGTGACAAAACGGATGGCGATGGAGAAAGAGATGAGAGGTGAGAAGATGAAATCGCAGTTAAACTACCTTAGAAGACATAAACGGGGAGATGGAGAGAAAACGGGAGGAAGACGGAAGGTTTGGGAGCTCTGGTTTGCGAAAACTGTGAGAATGAGAACGGAAGGGTTTCGGAGGGTTTATAAATGCAGAAATATTTGGGCCCTTTTCCGTAACAATTGAGCCCGAGATAATGGGCTAGCACAAAATGACTTTTGGAAAAAAAAATTAGACCTAATATCAGTAAAAATTAGAGCTCCCCCCTTAAACAGTGTAAATTTTTCCTTTTTCTCCCCCCCAAAAAAATGCAACAAACACTATGTACAGATGCAACACACACACACTATTTTTGTCCTTTTTCAGATTTTCTCCCCCTCAACACATGCAACACACGCACACTATTTTTTGTTCTTTTTCAGATTTTCTCCCCCTCAACACATGCAACACACGCACACTATTTTTTGTTCTTTTTCAGATTTTTCTCCCCCTAAACACATGCAACGCACACACACTATTTACAGATCACCACCACACACGCTTTTTACAAGTCCCACACACACACACTTTTCAGACCAGTGGAGACGAAAATTAAACAGGCTCGAGGTTCAACATGCCTAACTTAGAGACCAGGAACTGGAATCTTTTTTCATCCAATGCCTTAGTAAACAAGTCAGCCAGTTGAAGCTCTGAGCTTACAAAGTACATGTCAATGTCTCCTTTCTCCACGTGATCCTTGATGAAATGATAGCGCAGATCAATGTG